CGAGAGGAAAAGAGAAAAGAAAGTAAACCGAGAAGAGAAAAGAGAGGAGAAGAGGAAACAAAAGTATGTGGGGAGAAAAATAATATAAGAAGGTAATATTGGGAGTAAAACTTTATTCTCCTACTTTAATTCTTTTTATATATTTTATATTTAAAGTTGGTATTTAAAGTTATTTCTTTAAATGTTGTGAAGGTTCTGTTTCTCCGTCCAAATATTTCCTTATAAATCTTTTCTATTCTTTTGATTTATCTTTGATTTTACAGATTTGATTAATTTATTCATAATAGTTATGAGAATTATTAACGGAATGAATATTAAGATCATAGAACTAAGAAATTTCTTTGGTACCAAATGGATATTAAAGGAATATGTAATCTTTTACTGAATGATTATGATGTGACTGACCCATAAGGGGACTATAATGGTTATAGAATAAGGGAATCATGGCTTGAGCTCTGCCATACAGAATCTTTTACATATAGAACCTACAATATTTGGGCGCTCACAGAATTTGAGCTAAACACGCAAAGGTTTGATATAGAAACCACAAATGTTTGGGTATGTCTAAATGAAGGACCCACAAAGGTATGGTCTTATATATATTATTTTATTATTACAAATATATTTTATGAGAATGATATTTTTCACTAAGGTGACTGAATTGGTTATAGTTTGAAAACTCTAATAATACTGATATTTTATCTCACGTGTATTTATTTTTATGCTAAAATTTTCAGAGAATAAACAGGCCAGTATGTGTAACTTTGGAGTTGGGTAAAATACTATGGTTAAAGACTTTGAAGACTGTACGGAGATCAGTGGAATGATTGATAGAAAAAAATATTTCTTTTCAATTTAGATTATGATGTAATCTAGACTATTTCAAATGTAATAGTGAACTGAATTTCTGTATAATTAAATTTAAAGAATATTTTTTCATATGCCTTAGTTCTTATTCGTTGCGTTAGAATTTTATTATAATTCTCGTTCTCTTATTTAAAATAAGAATTAACAATTAATTTGATATCCTCTATGCTAATCAGTTAAAGAGGATGTTACATCCAGGTCGAATTGCTAAAGCAATATATTATCTCCAAAAAAATTATAAATTACTGAATTATAAATCAACAAATATATGTATATACATATATAATTATAAAGTGCAGAATTATAAAGTACATAAATATAAATTGTTTACGTATAAATTACAAAAATATAAATTATTCAAATATAAATTTATGAAATGAATAACACAAAAAAAATTAAAATGTGGTATCCCATCGGGACTGACTAGGGGAAGAAAATGAAAAGTAAAATAAGATAACAAAGTAACACTTAAGGGATTTATATTTTAGAAAAAGAAGTTATTCCCTTAATATTTACTTTTATCTTTCCTTATTATGAAGTTTCCCCACTCACAATTTCTTCCTTTTTCTCTTCCTCTCCCTTGGTAGAGTTTTCTCTAAAAAGTTTCAAGACCATTGACTCTTTGATTTCTCTAAATTTCAAAGTAATGACTAATGACACCTTTAGCCTTTATTTATAGGAAAAAAAATTACCATCGAACCGAACAATTGAAAATCGAATTAACCGAAAATCAAAAAAGCGAAAACCGAAAAAAAATCACAAAATTTAATTGGATTGGATTCGTTGGTGAAAATCGATCCAATCCAAACCAATCCAATAATTTTCCAACCTTACCATCTACCTACTCCAACAACGAACCAACAATCACTCCAAACGTGGCAAAATGGTCACTGTTCCCCAAAAATCATATAGCAAAATTCTTAATCCAAAACTCATTAACCCATCATGTTGGAGAAAGTGGGTTGTTCTTGATCTATGTTATGCTTCTTTTTTTTGGTAAGATACATAATATATTTTTATTACATGGGTTATTGTTGTATAATAGCTCCTCTATAAGATGAAAATTTGGGTTACTTCGTATCTCAGACAATCAAATTATAAATTTTTTGTTGGAGGTAAAAGATGGTAATTCAACTTTTTGTTGTACAATGTTTCTAGATTGCACAATAATCATCATACATACTTTACAAAGCCGATACATACAAAAGATGTGTTATTTGCACAATAATCATCATACAAATCTTAGGTTTTTCAAAAAATCAAAAATCGATTCAATCCAAACCGAATAAAATCGGATTGGATCGGATCAGATTTGAAAAAAAATTCAAAACAAATGGATGATTACATGATTAAATCAAAGGAATTGAATCAGATGATTTTTGCTTATTAAATCGATCCAATTTAGACAGTGAACACTCCTAGTTAATCTATCCAAATGATACACTAAAGAAAAAGAAAAAAACGGAAGAAAGAGCCTAACAGTCTAACAAATGAAATATACTATAAGTCTATAACAAACTAACAAATTGGAGTGATTGTTGTTTAGTTGTCCAATAAAAAGAAGAACCTTTGTGATATTGTAATTGTTTCAAAAATATCATAATGACTGTTTCATATGCAATGAAGGAGTTATCAATTGTCCTGGTTCTATTTAACGCCTTGATTGCAAGATCTGAACCGTTGGTGATTTGGGCATTCCAAAAGAGCACTATAAATGAAGGACATGCATTTTAATATTGTTGTTTTAAATAAGGATTTGTTTTTTCTGCACTTACTGCCTGCAGTAAGTTCAATACGACGTTGTTTTGGACGGAAATCATGGTATTTTTATAATTTTAATTTATTTCAGGGTTATAATTATTTATAATTTTTAAGATTTTAATACTAAAACGACGTCATTTTGAGAATAAATGCAGATAACTTATCTGCAGCCTGCAGAAACATTTTCCCCTTTAAATAATGCAAGACATGTTGTTTGGAATGACTTTGAGCCATTGGATTTGTCCTTAATTGAGGCCTCGTTGGGTGTTGATTTGATCAAGGATTCAGAAAGGGTGTGGATTGTATTTGTATATATGAATTGATTTTCTTTTTGGGTACAAACTCACACCATCTTTTGATGGAAAAAAGGCAAGTATTCTAGTGGCTGCAACTTCACAATGTCCCTAGTCAATCAAGCTGACCTAACGGCACAGTTTGATATGGGTTGGATCAATTTTCTTTACACAAAGCACGCATACTCCACCTTCACTACCCTTTCCAATCCTACATTTAAGGAAAAAAGAAAAAAAGAAAAAAAACTAAAAGATAAGGAATTCACAAGGCATCAAATTAGTCAAATTCATGAGATACCCACTATATATCATGGGCAACCCTGACTTGTCATATTGTCTTCCTAAAATTTGTGCACATAAAAAATAAAATTCTTTGATTTCATTTGAAGAAGAAAATTTACTAGTTTTGAAATTTTCAATTGGACTATCTCATTTTAACTAGTCCTATTTTTTTTTTAATAATAAATGGACTACTATTCCTTAACTTGAAAATTGATCCACCGTGTCTTGGGCTTATGGTTTGAATGATTGACTGCGAGATTCATGTGGCTGAGTCACAAGCTTCCCTGATCACCGTTGATTTAAAATCAAATTAAAAATTAACGAAAGCAAAAGCATATTACTAATGGTGGGACCTTAATATCAACCTCCCTGACCTAACAACGGTGTTGATTGAGTTTGTGACACAAATAGTCACACAGGTACTACTTCCCTATATTTATTCCTTTTTTCCCCCCGTAAAGACCCACTAAATATTCATCAACATCATGTCATCACACACAAGAGAGAATATAAAATTATGAATAAATATTATCAATTATCATCTCATAAAAAAGTTATAGCAGCATTAAGACTAAGAAAGGCCAAAAACCTCTGTTTCTTTCGCCCTTTTAATTTTTGTGTTTCTCGAGTTGCGGGGCTTCATTTTTTTCTTCTTCTTTTTCTTGGTACTCAATATTCAGTTATTATGAATTGAAACTGCTATAGAACAAAAACCGCATGGGGAATATTGGGTAGCCTTTAATTTTATTTGATGAGGATGTGAGAAATAATAAGCAAAGCAAAGAAAAGTTCATAGTCAACATGATATGTGCAATAAATATTAGTATCCCCCTATCAGTTTCTTCTAAAATGATAAAGTATACTTAACAAGTAAGGTACATATTACATAATTAAATAATAATTGATTAAAACATCAGGGATTTATAAAAAGGATAGGATATTGTGATACACAAATAATGTTACGCACAATGTTACGACTACATTTTAACCGTTGATTTCTGCCAATCAACGGTTATCATTTTTCAAATTAAACTCATTAATTAATTATTAATTCGCAACAAATGATAACAGTTGATTGGTGAAAATCAACGGTTAAGATGTGGTCGTAGGCTTTTTCACCTTTTTACCCCTTATTAATTAATTAATAACCATTTTGCCCCTGATTCGAAACTATTTATCAATCTGCCCCTCTTTAGTCGACTACCTTGCATTTTTAATCGACTAAATGACCAAAACAGACAAAAAATGGCTGCTGGGAGATTTAGTCGACTAAATCTCCCTATTTAGTCGACTAAATCTTCATATTTTACAAAATAAAAAATAAGTCAGTATGATTTTAATCGATTAAGTAGAGAGATTTAGTCGATTAAATCTCCCAACAACTGTTTAGTTGATTAAAAATGCAAGGTAGTCGACTAAAGAGGGGCAGATTGGTAGATAATTTCGAATCAGGGACAAAATAGTTATTAATTAATTAATAAGGGACAAAAGAATGAAAAAGCACGTGGTCGTAGCATATTATGTATCTGTGTAAATTTATTCTCATAAATATCTTATTAACTATTACTATCTGTTTTCTTTTTATATGGTAATCTCAAAAAGTTTTTAAATTTAATGATTCTCAAATTAAATTTTAGTATAACAAAAAGGAAACTGAAATCTTTCAAATAACAACAACAAAACACAATTAAAAAAGGAAGAAAAGAAGAGAAGGTGGGTGAAAAAAAAATAAAAAAATAAAGGAAAAGCTGAACATTTACTTCTTGTACAATACAACACAAGAGGTCACATACACAGACCTTCCTCTTTCTTTCTCTGTCTCTCTCTCTCTCTCTCTTTCTCTCTCTCTGTCTCATTCTCCATTGCACCTTCCTTTCCTCTTTTCCTCTACCATTTGTGAGATTCCTCCAATGGTCTTTTACCTTCCATTGGATTGTACAGATTCCTAGCTATAATACCCAGATATCAATCTCTGCAATTCTATTTGATTTGTGGCTGTTTATGTGAAAAACTTTTAAGGACTGTAAAAAAAAAAAAAACTTTTCTGGGTCAGGTTTCTGCTTTTTTTTTTCCCTTGCAAACTATCTTCTGGGTTTGCTGCAGAATAAAGCCTTCAATACCCACTGCAAATAAAGCTTCAAAACAACTGTTTATATTTTCAGAAAAATTTCATTTTTTTCTGAATTTTATTTTATTTTTTGGTCAATAAAATTATTTTCTCCCCCTTTTTCTGCAAATTTTTTCTTCCTATTTTTTCCCCCCGAACTTTACTTGAGGAAAATATTGAGACATGGGCAAGCAAGGACCTTGCTATCACTGTGGAGTTACAAGTGAGTTCTTGTATCTCCAAAATACAGTTTTTTTGTTTGCAATTGTTTATTAGGAGTTATTGACTTCCTTATTTTTTCAAATTTGTTCTCTTTTTAATTCAAAGTGTGTTTTGCAACCGTTGGTATGGATTGTGATTTTGATAAAAATAGAGATATGTGAAGGAAAGAGTTGCTGGCCATTGGCCAAATAATCAAACAATAAATTTTTTTGTGTAATGTTCTTCTGGCTGTTTTAGAATTCAGGAGTACAAGTATTCCTGTTGCCTATAATATATGGAGTTGAAAGTTCTGGAAAATTTTATTAGTTTTCTCATTTGATTTGGTTTGTCTCACTCCTTTGGTGGTTCTTTGTTTTCCTTGACTATGTTTGAAGTATGAACAAATGCAATTGGTGCAAAATTAAGCTCAGAATCTATTGAATATTAGTAGGGACCTGTTACTGGATAGGCAGAACAGTTATTGCTGTTGAAAGTGTTTATCAATAAGAGTCAACTCACAGTTCACTTCTTCCCATTTGGATTATATGAACATAAGAAAGAGAGAAAAAGAAAGGACGGAAATTGTGCATTTGTGCAATGTCCATAGTTAATCCACTCATGTGTTCTGAAAGGATTTTACAAAGTTGTTTTGTTGCCACTTTCTCTCTGCAGCAACTTCTCCTTGTATCAGAGGATATTGGTCCATGCACTGTATTCATACTTCAAACTTGTTACTTCCCTGCCTTATGGCTGAAAATTAAGAATCATTTGCCTTGATTATTCATTATTATATTTTCAAGCTTTCTCAATTTCAAACAATTTTTGTTCATACTGATCACCTCAATAGAACTAATCCTTCAACTTAAGCCTTAGAGATGCTCATTGTCTTTCTGATAAATTCGAAACAGTTTCCAAGTGTTGAAGTCATTGCAATTGGTCAGCACTTCAAAACTCTAGGTGCCATTGTTTGAGTACAATGATTTCAGTCCCAAAAAAATGAGAACGTTTCATTTAGATTGCCTTTACATTGATTTCATGAGTGATATTCAGCGTATAAATGCTAGTCCTTTTGGTTCCAATGCCAGCATTGTCTTCACTACCAGTCTACACATCTTCTTAATTCGAGTTTCACCCATATCTGCTTGAGGAATGTAGAGTGTAATCTTGTTTTCCTTGCAAAAGGATATTGCTATGCTTTATCTAAAATATTTAAACTGCTTAATTACTGGCAGATTGTTAACAAATCAAGCAGAAATGGCTAATTCTTTATGATAGTGAATACTTGTTGATGATGCTATTTCAACTCTAAGTTGTTTGTTTGAGTTCGGTTTTCTAGTATATCTGGGAAATATGAATATGTGGTTGTTATTTGTGTATCTAATTGGAGATAATCTATATTCTTGTTTACAAAGGTTTTTAAATTTTATAGATTACTGACAAATAAGCCTTGCAATAGGCACACCACTTTGGCGTAATGGACCACCTGAGAAGCCAGTACTATGCAATGCATGTGGATCTCGATGGAGGACAAAGGGAACACTTGCAAATTATACCCCTTTACATGCTCGAGCAGAAACTGTTGATTATGAGGATCAAAGTGTTTCCAGGGTAAAGAGCATATCATTAAATAAGAGCAAAGAAGTGAAATTTGTCAAACAAAAGCTGAACCATGATAATGCTGCATCTGGAGGGCTTGCCTATGATTACAACCAAGGATTCCGAAAGGTTGTAGATGAAGATGCAAGCAATAGATCAAGTTCAGGGTCAGCTGTATCTAACTCAGAGAGCTGTGTTCAATTTGGTGGCACAGATGCTAGTGATTTAACAGGTTGGACAATTACTGTTTGCCAATTTCATTTGAAGATTTTTCTTCTTAACTGATTATGGCAGCATGGTCCATTCTATTGAAATAGTATGGATTTTTATGACAGTCCACATTTATGTGAGCATAATCAAGAAAAGAATAATTAAATGGGGGGAAAATGAAAAAGAAATACATTGTGGAATTGCAGATCAACTGACAAGGCCTTTGTTTTACTAAAAGAAGACTTGTAAATTTTGCATCTAATTGTACATCATATCATACATATGAGTTTGCTTTTTTGACAAAAAGAAATCAAGAAGTGATTTAAAGAATTTTCCACAGTGATGGTCTAGTTGTGTCTCAAAACAATTGCAATGGCAATTTTTACAATTAGATATTGATTATCAATTATCTATTGTTAGTGTATATCTATATTCCCTAGACAATACTTTTTTGAGAGTAAAATGTCAAGTTTTGCATATATGACATACCTATCTAGTTCTTCATCATTGGTTGACTTGGATCAAGAACTTTTAATCTGTTTTTGTGCTAGATATTTAATCTCCTGCAGTAGGTACCTTTGTTTCTTTAATAAATAAAAGCAAGTAATTTTAATGTAGATAGTTTGGTTAATTTAGGTCCTGCTCAGTCAGTGGTCTGGGATGCCATGGTGCCTTCTAAAAAGAGGACATGTGCAGGTCGTTCAAAGCCTTCTTCTGTTGAGAAGCTCACAAAAGATTTATGTACAATTCTTCATGAACAACAGTCTCACTTTTCTGCATCTTCTGAGGAGGATCTTCTTTTTGAAAGCGAAACACCAATGGTCTCTGTTGAGATAGGACATGGAAGCATTCTCATTAGGCATCCCAGCTCTATAGCTCGTGAAGAAGAGTCTGAGGCTAGCTCTCTTTCAGTTGATAATAAACAAAGCTTGATGAGTGAGGCATATTCATGTTCTGGTACCAGACCTATGCATAGTGATTGCAGTGGCATGAACTTCTCATCTCAGGGAGTTAAAAAGGTCAGAAACTCTGTTGGCCAAATATTGCAACAGGAGCAACTTAAAAGGCATGTTTTCCTACACTATTTAGTCTTTCATTATTTATACTTTTCTAGTCGGTTATGCAAGAATATAATTATTTAATATGATAAAAAAGTTCTATTTTGTCTACTACTACTGAAATATTCAAATTCCTGTACTAGCATGAATTCAGTATTTTTTCCCAACAGTGGTATAGGGATGTTCTCGTGTTTATGGATTGTCTTTATACCTGTGGCTGTGCGAAGAAATATTAGAGATAAATGTGCAGAAATTGTTTTGGAGAAGTGTCAGAAAGTTTTAACTGTTCAGTAATTAATATTTCTTTCTGTTTTTAATTTCAGGTACAATTATCAGCTTGAAAAACAACAAGTTCTTGGAAATCATGATTCACCACTGTGCTTAATAAATTTAAATGTGAGTTTCATATGTGCATTAGTTTCTCGCTATTTTGATTGTGCTGTTTTAAACTTTGTCGACAAAAATATTCATCCCCAGGCTTCTAATAAGTAATAATATCATCTTTATCCAAATCAAATGTTCTATTCTAACATGAGTTTTGCATAAGAAAATATTGGGCTTAAGCTATTTGACACACACAGCATGTATACTCTGTTTTAGAATCTTTTATTAAATTCTTTATTCATGTAATTACTCGTAGATCTTTAAGGATAGACTGAAGTTCAAATATGTTCATGTTTTTGGGTCTTGTATTCTTTTCTTATTCTGCATACACATTTATAACTATATATTGGTCAGAAAAGCTTCATACCCATCAAATTGTTGATTGTTTAATGTAACTGCTATTATGTTTGGTTAGGCTGTAGTGAACTATGAGGAGTTTACGAGAAACTTGACTAATGAAGAGCAGCAGCAATTACTGAAGTATCTCCCTGTGGTTGATACTGCCAAACTACCTGATGGGTTAGAATCTGTTACTTGTGTTTGATCAGAATTTTATTCTAATTTATCATAAAATGCTCTTTTGAATGTATTTTTTAAGTCATAATAAGCCTTGAACATAAGTTTCAAGTCTGTCTTTTCAAAAGATGGGGTTGGTAAATCGGAAGTCTAAATGCTCAATTATTATAAAATGTTGTGTTCCAAGAAAATTAGAGGCATTTCATAATGCATCAGATAACCGACTCTTCAGTGAACAGAATATATTCATAGAGTCCAACATTATTGATGGGTTGTTTTGTTGTATGTGCAGCCTTAAAATCATGTTCAGTAGCTCTCAATTCAAGGAGAACTTAACTTATTTTCAGCAACTTCTTGGGGAAGGCGTCTTTGATATCTCTTTGCTGGGGCCAAAACCTGAAGACTGCAAGATGTTGAAAAGGCTTGCGTTATCTAATCTCTCACAGTCAAAATGGGTAGAATACTATAACTTCATCAAGGTTTGTTCTGGTTTATTATCTAAATATTAATGCTTTTTTGTCCATAAACCAGTTTTGGTTATTGATACTTATCAGATATCACATCCTTTTATAGGTGCAGAGATATGAAAGCAGAGCTGGAAAATCTATTGATCTGGAATCTACTGGTATGGCATCAAGTAATGTTGCAAATGGCAAGAGATTGCGTGACAGCCAAAATCAAAATTTTTCAGGTTGGCTGAAAACTTTATGTCAAACATATAAAAATAAAAATATTCATATACCTATCTTGCAAAATGCTGCATATATGTTGAGCTTTTACTTTGAGACACATCAAGTGTGTTACTATTGTCCGTTAACTAGTTAGTAACTAAAACTAGAACTGAGCTGTTGGTTTTCACTGCCATTTACAATTTAACTGAAGATTCATTCTTAACACTAATCTTGCAATTTTCAGAATTGAAGACAACAATGAGGAGCCCCAAAAGGGTGATCATAAAGGCTGGCTGTGAGGGCAAAGAAGTTGTAGAAGATGGCTCTAGCTTCAGTCCAAAAAGCCTATTTGCTTTGCCTCATGATGGTAGCTTGTTCATGCTGGGTCCTTTAAACTTTGTGGATGAGAATTCTGATCAGGATCTGCTGCTAGAGGTGCCATCTAACAGTTCTTTTCCACAGGCAGAGCTCCTGCACCCAACTTTAAGCTTTGGTGCTCAAGCCAGCACAAGTAGTAGCTCAGTATACTCACATGCTACTCATCCTTAACTAATCTTTATTAGGTTACTTGGATGAGTATGGATAGAATCTTCTTTCGTAATTAGAGTCCACATGATTTGCGTCTTAAAAACCAAAATTCCTATACAAGAGATATGATGGTTGTGCTTTTATTTCCTTGCAACCTTCTTGAGCTTTGATTTCCAAAGGATGGAAGTTGGATGGGCTTTTTTTGTATAGATTGTAACAAGTAGCATGAATGTGGAGTGATGGTCTCCAGAGTTTTGTATGCATATTATAGTTTATGTTCTGTGAATTATTTTGACACCCTTTTTTTTTTCCCTATAGAAACCTCAACTTTCATCTAAATAAATAAAAAGCAAGATGACAGCTTTATGGGATGGATTAAGAGGAACTAGATAACTATTCTGTCTAAAGTCAACTTTCAAATCGTATGTCACCCCATGGTCCATGGATTGACATTCTACAGGTACTTTGTCTACATGCATTCCTAGGTCGAGTGGTTAATTGGTAAATGAAATATGAGTGTGAAGTCTGGGCAGGAAGTATTTGGTGGTGGTAGTATATCAGGGGTCCATGTCCAAAAGTACCTTTGATACACAAGTTAAATACATATTCACACAATAGTCTTTCATACAGTATTCCTTTTAGCTTGAAGTTTGAACGGTGTATAGGCTTTGGCAGCAAAGATTGAATTCTTAAACACTCAGTTGAGGTTTTATATGTATGTGGAGATAGTCACGTGTTCCAAAATATTGATTGCATATCGGAACGTGTTGAAGCATGTTGGTGTTTGACATACATATTTTCTAAAATAGAGTACATTGCCAAATTTTGATTTCTCGGGTACAAGCATGTTAGGTTTTGGCTTAAATAGTCTAACCCTGTGTAAAATATTTTAGATCTAGCCTGATCTATTAGCCTTATAATTTGGGCCTATATAAGAGCCAAGTTTAAATTAGATAGAAGATTTTTAGGTGAATCAAATCCAACTATCTACATAGTGCCGGTGCAATGGTTGCAACATAGAAATTGCCATGTATGAGTAGGGGTGACAGTTGATGCTAGAGGTGTTTGCAATATGAATAAGATCGATTTTGAAGCAAAAATTATCTGATCCAATTTTCAAATTTGATTCAATCCAATCTGATTTTATTCGGTTTGAATTGAATCGATTTTCGTTTTTTCAAAAAGTCTAAAATTTCAGTCATATAAATCATTAACTATATCAAAATAAAACTATACAAAGCTACAAACTATTGAGAAATTCAAGTCTTCAAACTAAAATAAGTCTTAAAATTCATGAAGAGTTAAAATAGAGTAATAGACACAAAACATCCTTGGCACAGATGATAAGGAGTCTAAGTTCCTTAACCAGAGATCTCGAGTTCGAGCCTTCGTAACGAAAAAATGATTTGGGAGAACTACCCCTTTAATAGGGTCTACAAACACGAGTCATGAGTACTTGCAAAGATAGTTGTTAGATTTGATATGAAGGTTGGATGATACATAATGATGACATGTATTGGAATTCTGAATTGTATCTCAATTTGCAAATCGAAATTCAATCCAAGAATTGCGATTTTAGATTTGAAATTAAGATGAGTATGGAGAATCCAATTTAATCTAATCTGATTTCATAAGCGGTTCAAAATTTAATTTAATACGAATATGAAAAGTCCCTTGAGATTAGAGAAACATGGACGTTCAAATTCATATTACTATAAATCTGGAAAGTCGTTCAAATTAATATGTATGAAAAAAAAAAAACCACTAAAAGATAAGTAGAGAATGTCTTAAACTTTCAAACTTCGTTCAGCAACAAAGACTTGCTCCAAAAAAACAGTAAAAGATAAGTAGAGAATGTCTTCAAACTTCGTTCAGCAACAAAGACTTGCACCAAAAAAACACTGGGAATGTCTTAAACTTTCAGACTTCATTCAGCAACAAAGAATTGCTAAAAAAACACTAAAACGGAAACTTTCCGTTTCAGATGTCCAGCAGGGAAGTAGGGAACAGTAAAAAAATTATTTTTAAATTATTTTTTATTATATTTCTGAATCTTATTATACGATATGATTCATTATACAAAGTATTCAACCTTCTATACATTCGGAGCATTATGCTTTATAGTTATACTGACCGATTAATTACTTGGACAGCAGGCGTGGGAAACTATCCATATTGAAGCTTTTCACCTACAGAAGAAGACACAAACTTCAATTTCAGTTGAAGCATCCCAGAAACATATTGCTAAATAATAATAATGATATCACATTGATTTATCACATAGTGCTGTCTATTACATACACCAAATGCAGCAATATCCCTTCTACATATTCGATATCACCAAATGACAACAAGTTATTACAGTACAGAATAGCACGTGGGACATTCGAAATTAAGAGAATTTTGAAAATTGAGTCATCATATAATCGAGTGAATAGACATTTCAATCCCCAAATATTATTATTTACTTATAATTTAATTTCTGAATTTATTTGTACATACAAGTCAATATTAAGTTATTTCTTCTTAAGTGATATAAAAAAGAATAATTATATAAACCTGGTTACTACCTCATAAATAAATTCAATACAAACTAAGAATGGGGTTTCAAAAACTAGTTACCTAATTATTTACACATAAAGTGATCTTAATTCAAGTTTTGGATCACAATTACAAGTGACAGACAACATCCAAAACCAGATAGAAATTAGAATCCTACCATACTATCATCCGTTAAACAAAGTAGACAGCAAAGACAATTTGAAGTCCTTGAAAGAACCATATGCTAACAACAATAGTCAGTGTACTCAAAACAAACAAAAATCCACTAAGGATTGAACTTCATTTCCTCCACTCGGGGATTAGTAGCACAATATGAATAATATCAATTTTTACAGAGAGTTTCTTTATACTATTCACTGTGTGTTGAAGTCATCCTTGTCCGGCCACCACCTTGGACGAGGAAAAGTAATACCACGAAGCTTTGCAGCTTCCAACAAACTAACATTATCAACATAATCTTCAACTTGGCGATTGTTTTCTGAGAGAACTTTCAATACAAAAAAAACAGGACACTTCTTTTTCTCACGAACTTTCCCAGATTCCAATTCATTTGCTGCATTCTCCAAACCATCACGAATTGAGATTGGCAGCACACGCAGTCCTGGTTCCTCATCACTACTCTCTTGCCTTCTAGAAGCTTCTATGACTATAACCCCATCACTAGACTTGTTCCCCTCCACTGTGCATGGCAATTTGTCACCTTCACAAAACTCAACATCCCCAACATTTGTTTTAGACTCCAATTGAACTACTTGGGTTTCAAAATTTTCCCCACAGCCCAAGTTTTTGTCCATTGAAATTTCTCTGCAACAATTGTCCTCTTTCCCAGCGTCAACGGGTATTTGTTCACCATCAAGAACATTTTCTTGAGGTTGATGATCTTCCCCAAAATTGCAGGGACTTTCTGTGTCAGCTTCAGAAACCAGTTTCCCCTTGCAATCCCCCACACCCTCTTCGACTTTCTGCAATTGAATTCCGAAACAATCCCTTGAAGAATCAAACCCTAAATTCTTATCGGAAAGTTTCAATTTTTTCACCGGCAACTCACCTAAATCAGACAATTCCCTTTGCAAAACCCCAAATTCATCGAATTGGCACTCGGGAATCTCGCCCAGACGATCTCCTTCGACACCGTGCGAGCACTCAGCGACCAAACCGCCATCAATTTCCTGCGTCAACGGAACATCCGAAAACCCTAATTCCGAATCCCTTCCTAAATCGACGAAATCTGTTCCATCGGAATACCCACACAAATCGACAAATCCCTGGGTCCCACAATCAACATCAACGACCTGATTAATCGCGCAACGATCAACATCAACGGTCACCGTCCTTCGCTGATCGTCGGAAGTTGGCAGCGAGGATTCCTCAGGCGGCGTGTGAAAAACGTCTTGGGGGGCACCCTCCTCCTGGGACTCCGGCAGAGACACCATGACAATGCCGGCGGAAGACACCGGAAAATCGCCGTATATCGGCGATGCTGCGTTATCGTTATGAGTGTCTCCGACGAAAATGTTTCGGTTCAAGTGTTCCTCCTGTGAGGAAGATATGCGAGAAAGATTTACCATAAAAGCGTAGGGTTCATCGTCATTCGTCTCACACATATCTCTCCATTCAAATTCAAACCTAACATCTTTTTAGCAAATTTGGATCGGTTGCTCTTCCCGCGGGAACCACCAACGTTGGGAAACACCACATTCATTCTCGAAACATGGCCCACTCTAATAATTTCATTTTATAATTCGTTATATATAAGACGAAGATATTTTCTTTATTTACTACGAGGAATATATTATACTTATCACTATTTTTTAGTAATAAAAATAAATAATAGTAAATATAACCTCTCTTTTATTTTATCTATTATTTTGTTTTAGAATTGCTTTAAAAACTATTTATTCAAGCAAGCAATTTCTTTATCTATCATTTTTTAAATACATTTGGAAACCAGTTTTAAAATTAAATTAAGAAAATATTATTTCTCATATTATATTAAATTAATAAATTATCTAATACAACATAAAAAAATTAGTGGAACTCATTAAAAAAAACGAAAAAGAAGAAGCGAATTCCATCTATTCTTAATGCTTATCCCAGTCCTTCAATGATACCAATCATGTCGCCAATGGATTTACCACACAGTTTGTTTACACAGTTGTAGAATATTAATTTTTAATAATGATACTACACTGATAAAGTATTTTACAAATCTTATAAACTAGTCATTACCACTATTTATTTGTCCTTTTCTTTCTTTTTCTTCTAAAGGAAAATAAATCTTGGCACAGCTTGTCATGACTACTTGTTTGTGTTAAGCTGTTTTTGATGCGGAGGGGAAAGTTGTTCCCCGTGTTTCTCCTAGCTAAATTGTTAGCTACTTATCCATTTTTTTCATCCTGTACTAGAATATCACCAATCTTAACAAAGCCTTGAGTAACACTAACATAAAGACCATTTCGAAAGGCATTCAATATTAAGCATATAAGTGACGCGGACATTTGGTCGAGGAAAATTTTTTTGAATACTAGGAAAATAGTTAGAAAGTAAATTTGGTAGGAAAATGTAAAAAAAATATTTTGGTTGGAAAAAATTTAACCGGACAAATTAGGTAAGATTTATAAAGTTTATGTTTGGTTTGAGGTAAAATATAGATGGAGAAATAAGTGACAATTATGAAAATGTCCCTGTTTACATAAATTTACAACTTCACAATTAGTTTTCTAATACAAAATGGAGGGTCACTTTGGTCACAATTTTCATTCAGTTTTTTACTTTCTTAGTTTTCCATAAATATCACATCTCAAGAGGTATTCTTAAATAGTGAATTTGAGCACAAAATCAACTGAAATATGGTTTCCGATGCAAACTTCTTTCCTAGACTTTTTTTTCATAAACTTGTACCAAACATAGCATTTTGGGATACCTACCCACACTTCCCCATCTATCCCATCTATCCCAAAAGAAAACCTCAACCAAACACACCCTAGAAGTCCACTATTTTTCCAAATGCCATACGCGTCAATATAAATTTAATTTTAACAACATCAAGGCAATGTTGCATTGGCAGCCAAATATCAATAAAGGAGAAAGGGTATTACATTTATTTTATTTATATTCCATCTAGTATCAGATGGAAAGTACATGAATCCCCATTATCTAGTCCATTTGGCAAAAGGGCACAAACCAGCATTCTTAGTTGCACTAATCAGAAACAAATTGCATACAAAGTGCCTTATTTGATTTCAAAGTGCTTTTTTTCTTTTATATTAGTAATTAAATCTGGACCTTGCTGTCATAAGTAGCTCCGGCCTTCCAATTTCCAGGGATAGGAATCTTGGACTGCTTCCAGTAAACCCCAGCACTGCCACTCACTTGGAACCTTAAATAGAATTCACCACTTGGTGGGTTTTGATAGTCAAACACTGCCCCATAGACCCTGCGCAGGGGCATCCATTCTTTGGTGTTTTTCTGCACCATTGACAACATTTCAAGAATCAAATTCAATACAACTAACTACACATGAAGACAAGTAAAGTAATTGAATAGAAGCACTCTCAAAGTAAAACTTAAATTAAACTAACTACTATGAAACTTGGCCAATACAAAGGGTAAAGTTGATATTCAAATCTAATAATTTAGAAATTGTTATATTGAGAATAATATAAAAGGGTGCAACAAGATATTAATATAGATATACCAGGTACATCTCAACAGCAGAGACATCGTATGCTCCATCTACATAGAGAAGCACAACAGCGAAGTAGCCAGGGTTATTGCTACTTTCTTGGACATGAAACATGATGTTTTGACCAGGGTATTTACAAGACACCCTTTCAAATTCAATATCCACTACACCGTATTTGGCAAGCTCTGCAGATGCTTTTGCGTCTCGTCCCAATTTTGCAAAGGCACGTGGGCTCATGATGAAGTCTGTTCTGTCTCCCTGACCATAGTCTGTTGCTAACACTATTGCTCCATTGTGATTGCAGAGTCCAGGTAAAGTGCACCTAACCTGAATCATCATTTACATGTGACAACTAACAAAGTATTAGTGGAGATAGTAAGCAATGTTTTTTTTTTCAATGATGATGAAGCCTTCTTTTACTAAGGATTATTAGAAATAGTGATTATTAGTAAGAAAGGGAAAGAAAACTACCCGATAGCATGCACCACAGCCAGCTCCATTCCTCCATAGCCCAGCCACCGCTGCGACACTGCCATCTTGGATCGTTCTTCCATAATCGCCAAAGCCACAAGCTCCATCTAAAATATATATTGATCGACCAATCATATTATATATGTTATGTCATGCTAAAAGTAGTGTAAGGTCAAACACAGTGCACATTTTACTTCTAACAAGCGAAGCATACTTCGTTAAAAGTAAATTCTTGAAATGTTTTTGATAGAAAGAAAACAATATTTAGTTTCAAAACATCAAGATCATTAGTGAAACATGCAAATGTGCTCCCAAAAAAAAATTGGATATATATATAAAAGTCAAGATCATTTTATACCAGAATAAGTTATATTCTCAATCTTAAGTCTATTGATTCCATTTATATCTAATGACTTCAATATTTAGCTACTTAAGCCATTAGATACAAATGAATCAACGACCAAAATTGAGTGTAACATATTTTATTCTTGCATCGGTATAAGAATAATCTGCCTCATATATCCTAATTCCTAGCCGGCTAACAAAGGTGGTTGGTATAAACAACTTATTTGTACAAACACATGTTATGGGTATATAGCTAGCTAGATAGAAGGGTAGGGTCACATACTTGGATTTCCATAACCATCAGGGGTACCATAATAGGTTGCTCTGGACTCGGTATATTGCTTGCAGTAACACAGTGCAGGAAAGAGCAGTATGACACAAACAAGGCCAAGTTGGTGCTTAAGACTAAGTTCCATGTCTAAATGACAAATTCTCCGGAGCAAAGAGGAGGATAGAAATGCAGCAATTAAGAGAGACCAATGCGATAAACTTAAGGGTATGAAGCAATAATAAAAATTAAATAAGAGAAGGCTTAATGAGATAGGAAGCAAATGTATGGAGTCATATTTATAGTACAGCATTAGGTACATACCAGTGTTGGGATAGCCCACTTTTTCTCCCACATGGATTTATAGTATGCAAAAGGATTGGAATAATGATGTGCAGAAGTAGAACGTAGGAATATTGAACACACCCCACCCCCCCCTTTCCCCCCACCCCAAATACAGGTTATTTATAGAAGTTTTGGTGTTTATCTATTTAAACATGTGGTTTAATGTTATTAATTGTCAAAGGTTCATTTTGTTTATTCAAAATCAAAGACAAGCTACTAGGATTGGTTTAGTGGTGAGAGGTATTGGTAGTTTGTATTAGATTATGTGTTTAATTTTCACATATGTATATAAAAATAAAAATAAAAATCAAAGGCTGTGAGGAAACAACTATTGGAAGGAACCTTCAATCCTACACCATGTATCTATATACGGGTTATACCAGATTATTTTATTATTTAAATAATACAAAAAATATTTTTCTTGCAACTTACTCTATAATTTATTTCTCAAATCCCAAAACAATTTCGTTTTGAGATTGTAAGAGATAAATTTATCTCTATTGTGTAGGAGAAACATTAATCCCTTTATTAATATAAGATTTAAATTTGTAAGATTTAAAAAGATGATCACATATATAACTAATTATTTATAATTTCACTGAATTATAATCAGTCTATTAAAACATTTTATACTTTAAGATAAGTGACATCAAATAATAAAATTAGTTTTAATATTATATTTTAGATAAATAGATAAAGAAACGTAGAAACAACTAGAAGAGTTTATTATTATTCGACATTCCACACCCACTTAAATATTCAGTAGCCAATTTTTGTTGGAATGCACCCACAGATTCATTAATTAGTACGAACTGAAGCACAAATTGAAATACTTAGGGCCTGTTCTGGTCAAATGGAATCATCTTAAATTGTATGAGAAGATTAATGATGATAATAATAATGTTGACATTAGGTAAGTTAGTATTATTATTATTATGCTTGCCATGTAGAAATAGAGTGTTTCTAAGTACTAAGTTTTACGCCAAAGACTTAGATTAATAAGGATGCAATATAGCAAGATCTCGAGTAGGTTTGATTGTGGTGTTATTATGTACTGGCCCTCTCCGTCATGATTATAGAACCGCTTGGATTGAGTTCCAAACAACTTACATAATCCAAGAGTACATCACCTGCCCCCGTTTGGATTATGGAATTGGCTCAACCCAGATCGACATGTTAAAATCTTTTTAATTGTTTGAATTTTGTGACAATTTATTGATGTTTTTTTTTAAAGCTATTTATTTATTTTTATATAGGCATATTGATTTGGTTAATTTGTATCACAGTGCAAGCTGTAAAGAAGATTTTTTGATCGTAGGAATTATCAAGTGACATGAGCTTTTCTAAATTCCTCTATTATTATTATTATCATTATTATTATTATTATAGCCGTAGTCGTCTTTTCATTATGAATTCACTATGTATATTGGGTTTTACTAAGTTATTATTTTATTTTGAAAAGGATGAGAATGGTGGGATTTACGGATTTTTTTATAATAGTATGATAAAAAATTAGCGTATGATAAGTACGATGTGCTAATTTTGAGATACAAGAGAAGGATACTACAAAAAACACGGTGTTTAGCCACATTTATAAATGTGGCAAAATGTAACAAAAAACGTCGCTAAAAAAAATACCACATTTTTGCAAAATGTGGCTAATCCTGGCGTGGCATTTATTTAGCCACATTTTTCTTTTCACTTTGCTACTGCTGTCATGAGTGTGGTAGCATTATTTTGGCCACGATTTTTGTGACATTAGCCACGTTAATAATGTTATGCAATCATTTAAAATTGTTGCAGTTATGACCATTTTAACAGAAGTATTATCTTGTCCTATTTATTTTAGCACCGGTTTCACCAAATTCCGATACTCCTAAGTCCAGTTATGCAATCATTTAAAGAAGGTGCTCAGACCAAAAATGTTGCAGAAATTTTCTGCTAGATCCTTCAATATAAGGTATGACCATATCTAGATTATATAACAGCTGTTGTTACACAATGACCACAACATTTTAGGAAATCCTTAGTATATACTCATTAGTCTAGAATTGAATTTCATGTCAAATTCTGCATAATTATCACAGCCATAAACAGAACAACCATGCACCTATCATAATTCATCTCATAGAATTTCATGTTCCCAATTATATACACTTCAATAGATCGAAGGATACACCAAGGCTAGAGCAACCTTGGCTGAAACAGAATCAGGGGAAATATCAAGATCTTTGAGGTTTACCTCTCTTCCTTGATTCAAGCCACTTAGCCTTTAATTGATCCTCTTTCCATCAACTCCAATCAGTGTCCTAACAGCCCCCAAAGTTTGGTTTCAGCATCCCTTCTTTTTCTTTTAAAGCTTCATGAAATACCATAGAGGCAAAAACTGATATGGTGCCAAGAAGGATTTATGACACTTGAACTTTAACAAGTTTATCAGTTATCATTTGATTTCAGTTTAGTATCACTTGTTCTAACACATGAAATCAGTTGGGTGAACAAATGATTCAAATTATCTACACTCATTGATCTGTTGAGAGTTCTCATGAAGTTTGAATTGTAGTTTGGATTATGTATGTATACTCCCTCAACTCTTTTCTATTCTTCCACAATTAGATACCGCATAACTCATACCACATCCTTGTGCTACTTATAGACTTTTCCATCAACCTGCTTTACTAAGATCAACTTAGTTTATTAACGCAAGCCTAATGAAGATTTTGATTTTCCTAGTACTAACATGATACGAATTTAATAATTCAAATATTGAATATTATACATAATTTAAATAAATTTTTTTAAGTGTTGTACATTTTCAAATACCAAAAATAACCATATTATTCAAAAAAAAACTATATGTTTAACTAACTGATTTATCATTTGGCTCCTCTGCCAGCAAAAAACATCTTTCTAATCGTTTTCCTCCTCTTCACAATATTTTCTGTATCCAAAGCTGAACTTCATGCTCGTTACTATGACCAAACATGTCCACAATTGGAAAAAATAATTTCAGAAATGGTTCTCAATGCTTCAATGCATGACCCAAAAGTCCTAGCTCGTATCTTGAGGATGTTCTTCCATGACTGTTTCATAAGCGTATGATTTATAAATCATACCATTATAATATTCCCATGTAACAGAGCAAGTACCCACGAATACAGAGAAAGAAACGAGAGAGAGACAGAGACATAGAGAGTACCTGAATGAACAAAAGAACTTCAGATCTCCTTATTTCAGAGCCCTAAAAATTGAAGTTCCATTATAATTCCAGAACCTTAAAATTGCATGGAAAAACCAGATCTGAGATCGCACTTCAAATTTAATATCAACAGCGATTAAACCTAAACTTGAAATTTAAAAAATAATTAAATAAAAATATATAATACCAAAAAATATTGAAAACATTCATAGATTTACAAGGATCTGAAAGCAGACCTTAGCACTGAGAAATTCTAGTTTGTTGGAATGGAGAACTTGCTTATTATGTATCAAATACCACGATTTGAAGCTCGGGATTAACAAAGGAACTGAATTCCAAGCTAAACCCTATTAGATTTTAATCAGGAAAGAATAAGATAAACTTTAGGGTTTATCCCTAACAGAAACGTCGAATAGAGTAGTGAACAAAAATAAAAAATATTTTTTAGAAGAAGAAAAAATAATATAAAACTTAAAAATAGTTTTACTTCATATTGAAAATAATGTGGCTAATCGGGGGTAGTTTTGGATTTTTATCAACATTTTAATAAATGTGGTTAAAGTGATGTCCCTATACGCCTTGTTTTTTGTAGTGGGATTTCAACTTACAAAGTTCACTGAATTTACTAGAATATAGAATAGAATGTTAATTGTACGTTAGTACAACTATCTTGTTGGGATTAAATGTGCTATTTGTCGTCTATGCTGTGGACATTACCGAACACCAAAAAATATTCACTCCATAGTACCTAATGTAATATCTAATAAATTTGGCAATAGGAATGAATGTATGATATATATCAACAAAGTTTACACCTTGTGTCCTATTCGCTGAAAGATAAAAACAGTTTCTAAGAATTTTAGTTTAAGCTATTTTAGGATTAAAGCCTAAACATCTTGATGTAAAATAAAAATGGGGGCAAACTTTATTCTCATTCTTGTCCCTAATAATAATGAAGAAATAACCAGATTAAGAATGAAAATAGTGATAACGCTATGTGGGGGTGCATAAAACATGTAGGGGTGCATAAAATAACCAAAATAACTAGACTCTTTTATGAACTAAATTGCAATATTGCACTTAAAAGAATTGATTTTTTAGAATAGTTGATGAGCTGAATTGGTTATTTTTTTCTTTTCTGTATTTTTTTTCTTATTTATCTTTATTTTATTTTTAATTATTTTTATTTTTTTAATTTCTAGTATTATATATATATATATATATATATATATATATATATATATATATTATCATTTTTCCCTTCATCTTTATGTACTTTTCATTTGGGATCATTTGTTACTAATCCTATCTATTTTGGGATAAATATGTTGTTCATGAACCGAACTGATTTTTTTAAAATCAGTTAATGAACCAGCTTTTAATGTTATCGTTCTCATTTTTTTATCATATACAATACTTCACTTATCATATTTAGTCATTGTGTAAACCTTTATACAAACTGTACCATTGATAAACCTATGATATTTTGAAATATTACTGTAACTAATTCAATTTATTCGACACAATTCTTCATTCTATTGTTCATACATGGTTGTTGTACCAGTTTATAATCGATTAAAAAATTAGTTTAGAACTAGTTCAAA